CTTCTAAATTTCTTACAAATTAAAAAGTGGAACGTCGCTTGGAACTTGAGATCTTAATACTAATACATGTAGGGGGGGACCATGTACATATTAAAATGGATATAAATTTGACCAAGACTAAAAATGGAAAAACAGCCTTGTTTGTGACAGTTTACGATAAAGACTGGACAAAATACTAAAAGGAGAACGTAAAGCCGTTGATGATATAGTTCAACGTCCTTCGAAAATTATCCGTACCGAGTTACAGAACATGGATGAGGTAAATTCTAAAATCTGAAGACAAAGGCTATATATATAGAAAGAGACTTAAATCTCACCAAAAATCTAGAGAGGAAACGCATGAATCGTTAACGAAGATGAATATCGAGACAAATAGATCTGAAAATTTTGTACAGGTTATTGATGAACAAACAAACGTAAAAGGTACTCCTTCATCATTCTTAATTTCCTATATATCCTATGCTTATTTTTATTTTCGCTCAAATATTCTTAAATATCGGTGCTCAAATATCATATACTTTGGTGCTAAAACGTTCTTTTTTTATCTCTCAAATGTCCTACCATTTCGCTCAAATTTCTATTGCCGATTCCTACATGGATTTTATTTTACAAATGACAATACAATACAAAGAGTTTATTTACGTCTCACCATTAATATTGCAAAACATAACATAATACATGAATACATAAAATAATATGAAATATTAATGCCATTTTTAAAAGAAATTATGAGAGACGGGATTAAAAAAAAATAATAATAACTATCAATGTATACTGACATACCAGATTTTAAAATGTAGGAATAGGAGGAATACACCGTTCGGAAGACCCCTCCAACGATTTTTTGTATTCAGCAAATAATGGCTTAAGGAAGGTATGAGATTTAAGTAACGACCGGGATTGTAAAGAAGAAAGCAAATTATTTTTAGATGTTGCCCGTCGGTATTTTGAGTCATGCACTTTAGCTATGCCTTTTAGCGACAAAAGTAAACTTTTTCGGCAAATGGAATTCCAATTATTACACAATAAAAAAATTTAAGCTGCATGAAAGGTACTGGAATTCAGAACCAGTGAAAGGATAAAATTGCACATTCAGAACATTTAGATCTGGATGATTCAAAAATAAATTTTGCTGTTCCAAATAAAGTAAGTGTGCCTTCTTTACCAACAGCTCTTCCAAAATCAATACAACTTTAAATTATAAAGGTGTTCTAAGATCACTAGGTTTTTTATAGGCCTTATTGTACATGTATCACTTTTACGGAACTTTGTTAGCAACTGCTTGGCGGCGCACGCTTATATTTTATTTTACATTTTCTTCAGAAAGCAACTGTTTTAAACTGTTGGATAAATATTGACATATTGTAAGAATTACTAGCATATCTGTCTATTGTTGAAGACAACTTGTTGCCTTCTAGATGTATTTTCGCTATTTTTGTCATTCAGTTACAGTGTTGTTTATTTAAACCACTTGTCTCCTTTTGTCTTTATTCAGAAAATCGATAAAAAATTCATGAAATTCATTTTTTTATGGGAAAGTGTGATCTAAGTCGTACCTATGTTTACCCTAAACCATATTCTGGCTAGTCGAAATACAAAATTATGTGTAGTTTCCTAAAAAATTAAAAAAAAAAACCAAGAATGATTTAAGTGTTAAAAATGACATTAAAATTGAGAATGGAAATTGGGAATGTGTCATAGAGACAACAACCCGACCAAAGAGCATAAAACAGCTTAAGGCCACCAATGGATCTTCAACACAGCGATAAAATCCCGCACCCGGAGGCGGGCTTCACTAGCCCCTAAACAAAAAATTTGTACAAGTTCAATGAAAATGGACGCCACACTAAACTCCGAAACATATAAATGAACTAAAAGAAAAGAAAATAAACATACAAGACTAACAAAGACCAGAGGCTCCTGACTATGGACAGGCGCAAAAATGCGGCAGTGTTAAACATGTTTTTTGAGAACTCCACCCTACCCCTATACCTCTAGCCAATGTAGAATAAACAAACACACAGCGATACGCACAGTAAAACTCAGTTTAAAAGAGGTCCGAGTCCGATGTCAGAATAGGTAACAGAAGAAACTAAGCAAAATGACAATGATACATAAATTAACAAAGGACTACTAGCAGTTACTGACATGCCAGCTCCAGACCTCAATTAAACTGATTGAAAGATTATGTCTTCATCATATGAAAATCAAGCACAATTCATCCCGTGAGGGGTTTAGTATCATACCATCATAAAATATACGAGAAGAGCATAACTCGTATCATGCCAACAACTGGTTTTAGAATAAAAATGTTTATTGCCGATGCAAAGACCCTATGAGTGAATCAATATTAATTCCAAAAATATGCCATCTTTAATGACCTGACAACAGTATCGTAACTATATCCCTTCTGATTAAGTCTGTTTAAAGGTTTGGGTAGCTTTTGCGGTGAATGGCGACATTTTTGTGCTTTGTATAGAATATTACCATAAAAGATTGGATGTGAAATACCTGAACGTATACGATGTCTGCATGTTGATTTATATTTACGAATGATATCCTTGTACCGATGAAAAAATTTAGTAAATGTTTTGACTAGTTTGTGATATCGAAAACCCTGGTGTAATAATTTTTCAGTAATACAGAGATTTCTTTCGTTAAAATCAAATACGTTGTTACATACACGAGCGAATCGAACAAGTTGAGATATATAAACACCATAAGATGGTGACAAGGGAACGCCACCATCTAAAAATGGATAGTTACCAATAGGAAATGAAAAATCATCTCATTTATCGTAAATTTTGGTATTAAGCTTCCCTTTAAAGATATAGATATCATGATCCAGGAAAGGGCAGTGTTCATTGTTAGTATTAGCTTTATTTAAAGTCATTTTAGCAGGATAAATCTCTTAAGTGTACATACTGAAGTCGTCATTATTGAGAGCCAATATATCATCCAAATATCTAAAAGTGTTTTGTATCAGATGTTGTTTCGATGGGTCTTTGCTGATTTTAGTCATAAATTGTAACTCATAACAATACAGAAAAATGTCCGCAATTAAACTGTTTGGCGTGTTTTTACCATTGAATTGTTTTTTCTTATCCGTGTCTAGCTGGTTGATTTCAAAATGTTATCCGATTTTTCGCTCAAATGGTCAAAATCTAAAATTTGTCCAATCCTACTGAAAATTAAATTTTAAAAAGTCGTGTGCTTCAAATATTTGTAAATATATTACATATTTTCATAAACTCAAAATGTTATTCAGTGCTATATGTTTCTGTTCAATGCATTTCGAGGCATTTTGATGCAAAACTGAAAATTTTATATGTTTTTATGAAATTTTGCATCCTGAATGATGTTGCTAACCAATATCAGTTTGAGCTGTATCAGCAAAATAATATTTAACTTTACACCCAACAGAATTTTGGTTTTGGTTAACGATGTTCTTAGATAAAAGAAGATGTGGTATGAGTGCCAATGAGACAACTCTCCATCCAAGTCACAATATGTAAAAGTAAACCATTATAGGTCAAAGTGCAGTCTTCAAGACGGAGCCTTGGCTCACACCGAACAGTAAGCTATAAAGGGCCCCAAAAATGACTAGTGTAAAACCATTCAAACGGGAAAACCAACGGTGTAATCGATTTTTTTTTTTTTTTTTTTTTTTTTTCAAACACCATTACCTTGTACATTTTTGGGGATAAATATTGACATATTGTAAGGATTATATCTGTCTATTGTTTAAGACAATTTATTTGCCTACTAGATGTATTTTCGCTACTATTGTCATGCAGTTGCAGTCTTATTAATTTAAACCGTACATCTCCTTTTGTCTGTATTCAGAAAATCTATAAAAGTTCATGAAATTCAATTTTTATGGGAAAGTGTGATCTAAGTCGTATCTATGTTTACCATAAACCATATTCTGGGTAGTCGAAGTACAAACTTATGTGCAGTTTGCTAAAAAAAATTAAAAAAAAGAATAACCAGGAATGACTTAAGTGTTAAAAATGACATTAAACTGTTTGGTGTGTTTACAGCATGGGTTTGTTTTTGACCAGTTTAGTGTACACACAATACAACCCAATGTGCGACTGGCTGAGGTACTTTTGGTAAATGACACGGTTAGCTGTAGCCATCATCATAGAAGTTTCTTGCTGTGCTATTTAAACAAAATAGGGATGCGTCAATCGAGATAAAAATCAGATAACATTTTGAAATCAAACCAGCTAGGCTAAATTTTCATTATTGATTGACGTTTTCCCTTGTTTCCATAATTTATGCAAATGTCATTGTTACCTTTTTGACCTTTTTGTGCTGGCATGATTTGCTTAAATGGAAATTTCAATGCTGCAAACGGTAAAATTTGTTGCATTTGCTATAATTTATTTTAGAAGGATTATATACGTTAGTCCAACAAATGCTTTAATTTTGATAATAAATCGTTCCGTAGATGAAAAAGTCTTACAAATATGTATGACTTGCAAAATTCGAAACAAAATGTAAAACAAGGAGATGTGATTTGGTGTTTCTATGAGACAACTATCCAACCGAGTTAACATGAAGCGGGCTTAAGCAATATAGGTCGTACACCTTAAAATGAATGACCAACAGCCATACCGTAAAATCAGTTATAAGTGGTCCCGACATAACAAAATGTGAAACAAATTAAATCAACGGCCTGATTAATGACAAAACAATATCCGAAACACAAATATGACAGACAACAACAAACGACAACCATTGATTTACTGACAAGGAAAGGACATGTACTTATTGATCTTAATTTTAAATTTATTCACAGTATGTTCCCTTGGATAAATTTCCGCGGTATAATGAGATATTTTTGGTTATTTAAAGGAAAACAATCATAAAAGTAACGTGAGGGTTATCAAATTCATCAATTAAATGAAATTAAGACGGGTCTTTACTGAGTTTACCCATCAACTTTGATTCTTAACAATACAGGAACAAGTCAGCTAACAAAGATTTTTTTATTCCATATCTTGTATATATATTCCATAGATTGTTTCATATTGAAATATTGTCTTGGTTAAAGATATTCATCATATTGGTATTAAATTTGAAGGATGTTTAGGATTTTCACCGGTTAGTCTCCTGTTTATGCTAAGAAGGATTTGTGTTATCCGAAATATTTGTTGACTTTTTCATTATATTTTTTAGACGTAAACTTTGTATGTGTACGGTTTTTCATAACTATAAAACAAGCGCCAAAACAAAGTATTTGTGAACATCATATATTTGCAATGTAAACTATGCGTTCATCACAAAAGAACTAATTAACATTTTCCCCATGGAATTTCATGGAAGTCGCAGTAGAAACTGAGAAATATATTTTTATCATTCCTGGTAAAAACCGTCCCTTTCCCAGACGGATAGAGTAGTTGTGTTACCTCTCCGACATCTTCACCATACAACTTAGGTTTTTCTTCAGTCAGGTAAACCACCCCGGAACATGTTCTATACTGGTTTGAATTTGACCCGTACGAATGACAGTATGGGCGACAAATTCGACCATGTGAGTCGTAAGCAGATATGAATGAAATGCTAGAATTAAGTTTTGGATTTTTAACAGCAACGAAGGCAACAGATTCTGATACAGGGAGTCTGGAATCAACTATCGTGTAATCTACATACTTTCCATTGTATGACATACCGTCAACCTGAACATATACTTTGTCTGCCCCTGACCCGGACGTAAAACTATGAGAATATGCTGCTTGCTGCTCTTCATCTGTATAATTCATATTTTTGTTATATGAATATACATCAACACCATCTACAATATTTTTATTCTTTATCACTTTTGTGCCAAAGAGTAAGCCAGACGGACGTCTATGAACAATTTTAACTGGTATAAATACCCAACGCTTAATATCCGGCTCGCCATCCAGTAAAAAGGAGTTTTGCATGGTAGAGTCCATGTTGGTTATGTGAGATGTTCGCTTTTCCTTAGTGTATCTCCTGGAATTTATCGATCTTTTTGTTCGTCCAATTTTACTGACTTTTTTTTCCTCTAAGAAAGTTTCGTACACAAGCCAATCGCCCGTTGACCTCCTTGTACGTGGTGGTATCTTTCTTTTGTCCGTAATTGTAGTTGAGAATTTTCTTGTTATTCCTAGATCTTTATTGACTGGTTTCTTTGATTTCGCTTGACTCGCTAGCCTTATCTGTGGTCTGTTTGTAGCAGAACAGAGTCCTCTGACTAAGTCTCCACATTTAAGATAGGGGAAGCGGTTTCTACATTGACGACATGTTCTTGGACTATTTGCATATCTACAGAAAAAGCTTACAATGATATAAATGTTTTGCGACAAACAATAATGTTATGTTATAGGTTTTTTTAAATAACTTTTCTTTTTTTTTAAGGGAAGTTGATCAAAGCTAAAAATTAATCGTTATATATAACTTATTGAATGGTTCAAAATTAATAATATGCACAAAGATTTGTGTATGAAGACCATTCAAACTCATATCGCTTGAAAAGGCTAATGTGTCTTCAACGCATATTAAAAGACAAATATCAATGTCAATTGAAATGTTTAACATAGTTAACAAATTAGCACCTGTCTGTTTTCATGATCTAAATTAAAAGTAAGATTGTAAATATTCTTTCAGATATATTAATATACTGGATATTCCACATGTAAAATCAACACAGTTTTGTAATAAAAGTTTTAGATTTGCAGCTGCAACTCTGTGGAACAGCCTTCCCGACCATTTCAGGACTGAAAATAGTTTTGCACAATTCAAGAGCCTTTTACAGTCCTGGAATGGATCGGAATGTCTTTGTTCGGCATGTAGATAAACTTTTCATGTATTATTTTTTCTAGTGAAAGCGCTTTACATTTAAACTGTTATGCTTAATTTTGCATTATGCCTTTAAATTTTGGAGGTGTGCTGTAATGTTTAGTTGTGCTTCAAATTGGTTTTGCTTAATTTCTAGTTGTGCTTAAATTAATTTTAGCTGTGGTTTAATTTTAGTTATGCTTCAGTTTTAGCTTGTTTAGATGTGTAGTTTGGTAGTGCTTTGTATGTATTTCAATATGCCTGTTCTGTATCTATGCATTGTAATATATGCTCCTTATATATCTTATCTGCATTCTCTTTGTTTTAATGTTAATTATATTCGAAAAAAAGCTCTCAAGAGCTTATGTTATGTTTGTACTGTTATATGGGAACAAAATCAAAATCAAACTTTTGTACTCGTATTCGTACTCACACATGTAAAAAGTTAAATAGCAAAAATTCCGAACTCCAAGGGAAATTCAAAACGGAAAGTCCTTTACAAAATGGCAAAACCAAAAGCTCAAACACATCTAACGAATGGAAAACAACTGTCATATTCCTGATTTGGTACAGGTCTTTCCTTATGTAGAAAATGGTGAATTAAACCTGGTTTTATAGCTAGCTAAACCTCTCACTTGTATGACAGTCGCATATAATTCTATTACTGTGAATTCAGAAAGTATTGCGTCCATTTATTATTGTGATTTTTGCAAAAATGGACAAAAATGGGAAATTAATTATTGCGATTTCAGGAATATCTGCATGCAGATGTACGTTTCAGATATCAACTTGCGAGTTCTTATTATTGCGTTACTCACACAGTCGCATTAATAAAAACCTCGCAATAATTTCTAAATTTACAGTATATTGACAACAATGTGTGATCAAAACAAACAGACATAATAGGTAAAAACGTCAAAAATTGGGGTACAGCAGTCAACATTGTAATATAATCTTAATCACTATAAAAAAAAATAACAGTGTCATCAAAGAAACACAAAATGGCATATAGACAAAGTACATAAGCAAAAATGAAAGACAAGTACTCAAAATTGACCATAGCACAATAACACAATGGCTTGATGAATAAATACCGATACACATCATAAATATATGATCGAATATGGATAAACAGTAAAGGTTAAAAATATACAAGGACAAAAAAGGGGGAAATTTAACACGTAATTAAGATGATAAACGTCAGTACCTAGAACCTATACTTCAAGACCATCATGTACTATTTGTGAAGTTGATACGGAATATTTATCAACAAGGTCTTTGTATCTTCCAATGAACTTTTTTAGAAACAGGACGAGACGTTCTTTGACATAACCTTGGCTCATCAACTTTCTGCCTAGACACTAGTGACGTTTTATAAAGTCTGGGTAACAGCTGCAAGCACTTTAATACCGAATGAGTTGGGAAATGTATATCCTATATGTAGGCGAAGTTGGTATATTGCTGCTAAGATGGGGAAAATTTATAATTTCAAAATTAAAATCGTCTCGCTTGTCATATATTCTGGTATTGAGATGACCACTTATGTCAAATTCGAGGTATAAGTCTAAAAATGAGGCGGAGGAAGCCGTGTCTGTTGTTTCTTTAATTTCTAGTTCTAGAGGATATATATATGGAACCCAATCAGAAAAGTTTGGATTGTTAATGGAAAGATAAAATTGAGAATGGAAATGGGGAATGTGTCAAAGAGACAACAACCCGACCATAGAACAGACAACAGCAGAAGGTCACCAACAGGTCTTCAATGCAGCGAGAAATTCCCGCACCCGGAGGCGTCCTTCAGCTGGCCCCTAAACAAATATATATACTAGTTCAGTGATAATGAACGCCATACTAAACTCCAAATTGTACACAAGAAACTAAAATTAAAAATAATACAAGACTAACAAAGGCTAGAGGCTCCTGACTTGGGACAGGCGCAAAAATGCGGCGGGGTTAAACATGTTTATGAGATCTCAACCCTCCCCCTATACCTCTAGCCAATGTAGAAAAGTAAACGCATAACAATACGCACATTAAAATTCAGTTCAAGAGAAGTCCGAGTCTGATGTCAGAAGATGTAACCAAAGAAAATAAACAAAATGACAATAATACATAAATAACAACAGACTACTAGCAGTTAACTGACATGCCAGCTCCAGACTTCAATTAAACTGATTGAAAGATTATGTCTTCATCATATGAATATCAGGCACAATCCTTCCCGTTAGGGGTTTAGTATCATACCATCATAACATATATGAGAAGAACATAACCCGTGTCATGCCAACAACTGGTTTTTAAATAAATGTGTTTAGTGCCGATGCAAAGACCCTATAAGTGAATCAATATTAACGCCAAAATATGCAATCTTTAATGACCTGACAACAGTATCGTAACTATATCCCTTCTTGATAAGTCTATTTAAAGGTTTTGTTAGTTTCAGAGGTGAATACTGACATTTTTGTGCTTTATAAAGAATATTTCCATAAAAAATTGGATGTGAAATACCTGAACGTATAAGAAGAACATGAATGTGAAATTAAATGATCGGGCTTCTTTGATTTTCTTGTTTTTGACAAGTGTCTGAAGGAACTCCGACTCATATGAAAATAAGAAGAGATCGGCAAGGAGAGGCTTACAGTTCGTTCTCATAGGAATGCCGACAACTTGCTGAAAAAGTCTACCTCCAAATTCAACAAATATGTTGTCAATGAGAAACTCCAGCATACTGATCACTTGTTCCTCTGTGTAGCATGTTTTACCTTTTTGTTCACTAGTAGCAATATCTGCCGTATGGTATCCCAAAGCAATAAATATATAGCGTATGCTATATTGAAAAGCATTGTGGATTATTTCTTTTAGACGATTTTTCAATTTCTCATGCGGAATTGTAGTATACAGGGTTGAAAAATCAAAAGTTTTGATATAATTAATTTCAGAGAAAGATCGAGATTTAAAATTATCAAGAAGTTCTTTAGAGTTTTTTAGAATCCACATATGGTTAATATCACTACGCGAGTAAACAGTTTCACTGTATTTCTGAAGACCCTTTTTTTACCGCGGCCGGAATTTTTGTCAATCTAATAAACAATTCCTTTGTAGAACATGCACATGAGCCGGCAATGTACCGTTGTTTGTACGGAATTTTGTGAAGCCAAAATCTCATCCTTGACAAATGATATGTTTTCGTATGTAGGATTACCTGAGTGCTGATTTATTCCTAATTCATTTACAAGACGCTCATAGTAGTACGATTTACATACAAAACAATATATTTGAAGCTTTGTCCGCAGGAACAACAACATATTTATTGTTAAGAGAAGATAGACATGTCACAGTTTATTTGTCTCTAAAACGGACTTTGGTCGATCATTCACACAGTTTTTCAAATTATGAAATCGACGTTTTATCGGAGACCTGATTGTTTTGACCCATTTTGACAATGTGTCCATTTCAACTTCTTCTCGTTTAGCCCATGCTCTGGCGTAGTCCTCAATGGAATCCATAATTATTTTGAAGTTATGGTTCCAATTGATGTGTTGGGGTTCTTTGAACTTAGGGCCATGAAATATCACCTTTCGGAGATGTTCATGTTGAATTATGATTAGATCCCCAGTTATAACATGGGCAGAGTTAATGTAATTAAGCCTTGTAGGAAGCTGTGTTTCAGCATACAGAACAAACAAAATTATCATTGATATCGCACATTGAAGCAGTGGTATATAGTGAACGTCTGTTAGTTCTATCATCCGTCCGTCCGTCCGTCAAACCTTTGTATAATTTCATAGAAATTGATCCAATATCCACCCATTTAGGTGCGAATCATATCTCTGGCCTTACATTGATACTGTGCTATGTACGCAATGTTTCTGGTTAATTCGGAAATGTTTTTATTCCAGGGAAACCTTCATCAGAGACCACCCCTATTGTTTTTGTTTTGTTTTGTTTTTTCATTTATTTCTTTTTTATTATTACTATTTTTTTCTTTAATTTATCAAATTTTTAATTTTTAATTTTTAATTTTTTTATTTTTTAAATAGTTTTTGAATTGTGTTTTTAATAAAAACACTTTTAAATTTGTTTTATTTTTATTTTGGTTTTCTATACTTTTTCAACCAATGTTGAATTAATTACGCGTTTCATAGTACAAACTTGTCCTCATAAGAATATCAGTTTACATGTGTTGTTTACATGATGGTCATTAATTAGTTCCGCACAGTTAAATGTTTAGTAGGAACTGTGAGGTTTAGATAAATTATTTTATGGTTCGTTGAACTAATTCACCAATGTTTCTGTTTCTTTTGAATCCTATTGATAGGTTTTTATGAAATTTAGCACCTATTGTAGAATCCGTTTAAATAAGATTTCATAGAAATAGATCCAATATCCACCCATTTAGGTGCGAATCATATCTCTGGCCTTACATTGATACTGTGCTATGTACGCAATGTTTCTGGGTATTTCGGAAATGTTTTTATTCCAGAGAATCCTTCATCAGAGACCACCCCTATAGTTTTTGTTTTGTTTTGTTTTTTCATTTATTTCTTTTTTATTATTACTATTTTTTCTTTATTTTATCAAAGTTTTAATTTTTAATTTTTTAATTTTTTAATTTTTTAAATAGTTTTTGAATTGTGTTATTTTTATAAAAACACTTTTAAATTTGTTTTATTTTTATTTTGGTTTTCTTAACTTTTTCAACCAATGTTGAATTAATTACGCGTTTCATAGTACAAACTTGTCCTCATAAGAATATCAGTTTACATGTGTTGTTTACATGATGGTCATTAATTAGTTCCGCACAGTTAAATGTTTAGTAGGAACTGTGAGGTTTAGATAATTTTATTTTATAGTTCGTTTAACTAATTCACCAATGTTTCTGTTTCTTTTGAATCCTATTGATAGTTTTTTATGAAATTTAGCACCTATTGTAGAATCCGTTTTAATAAGATGCCAGTATTTCCTGAATACTTTTTGAAGTTTTTCTGCTTGAGGATGATAATTTGTAATGAATGATATATTATATTTATTTTCAACTTTGTTTTTTTTCTTTAATTTATCTTGTATGTCTTGGAATTTGATTTTTGATAGAATTTGTTCTACCAATTTCAGTTGATATCCTCTAATTAATAGTTTTTCAATAAACCTTATAAACAGAAAGTCTAGGGAAATTAATGATGAATTCGAAAAACGTCTAAGGAACTACTCTAAAAGCTTGAAACATGAAACTAAAAAGAGTACTACTAGCAGAAGGAAACCCGATACTAAGAAGAATGGAAATGGACAAGTACTGAATGAACTAGCCAAACTGTTAGCCAAACACAAGTAACTGATTATATGCATAACGTGAAAACTAATCATGAATAAACAAGGATAATATCTCATTCCTATACATATGGATTTAAACGAATATTAATGAACCATAAATTTCATAATTATTTCATGTGAGATAAACCTGTAATCATTACTTATTAAATTATATAGAATCGACATTAAACTTTTGTCTTTTATCAAATGATTACTTAAATACCTAAACTCTACTTTTGCTTTTACTTCGATTGTTGATGTATTGCAAATTAATGACAGTAAATCAATAAACCTGGGAATATTATATCCCTAGATTTGTTTATTTATTGCCTACTGCGTATCCACGATTGATCTAGATAGCAATTATAGATACTAACCAAAACAATGATGAAAAGGACACACCCCTTGTGGTCATTACAAAATTAAAAACATCCAATGAGAATAGTGATACAGAATCATATTTATGTATATCAAATAATACAAAATAACATTCTTAACAAATGCAAAAAGAAAAGCATGGGAAAACATAAAAGACTTAATAAAAACAAGAAAAAGTCAAAAAACATTGAAAAATTCAAAGCCGTCAAAAATAAAATGAAATTACATAAACAAGAAATCAAGCTGAAAATTGCAAAACAATTTGTGCTGAACCTATCATCAAAAACATTATCACAACCAGAAACACTAGTTCTTGCTAAAGGACTAAACTTTGTTCCAACAACAAAAACATCCATAAAACAAATAATGAAAGATTTAAAAAAAAATGAAAGGAATTTGAGACTCTCATACTTTTTCCTTGAAAATCCAAATATATAAAGTAAAATTCATCCCTTCAAGGAGAAATCTAAATTTTCGGTGCCGGCGTTTGCCGATAACCCTATTGAAAAATATATTTTCTATACGAAAATGGAATTATCTAAATGAAAATGGAATTATCTAAATATATCCCTAAAACACAATTTAACCTTTCACTACAAGAAAGGAAGTGCCTGAAGAATCTAAAACACGATGAAAATATCATCATTCATAAAGCAGATAAAAACAATGTAACAGTTATTCAAAATATTTCCGACTACCTGAAAGAAGGTGGAAAACAATTGAATGACAACATACATTATGAACAAATCCAAGAGATAAATCTTAAAAACACTCAGAAAAAAGTATATGAAGTAATTTACAAAATGAAAGAAGAAAACTGTATTGATGAAATATCTTTCAAATACATTAAAAATGAACAAAATTATATAAAAACACCTTTTGCATACTTCCTCCCTAAAATTCACAAACTGGACAGTGAAGTTTTACAAAACATTGAAAACGAGAATAATCAAATAACAAATATAAATGTCCCTGGTAGACCAATAATATCACAGTGTAATGGACCACTTGAAAGGTTAGGGAGATATTTAGATTATTTCTTACTTCCCTTAGTGAAAACACAAAAAACATACATTTCTGATACAGGTGACTTAATCAGAAATATTGAAAACTGTACATTTGATAATAATGTACTACTTGTTACATATGATATAACATCACTGTATACCAATCTCAGATTTGAAGAAATCACAGAAGCCTTACAAAAAGCGCTTGATGAACATGAAAAAATTGAATCTTCTATAACAAAACCTACCAACAAATTTTTGATTGAAATAACAAAACTCATCCTTTCCAATAATGAATTTACCTTTTATGGAAATTCATATCGACAAATCATTGGAGCATCAATGGGAGCAACAGCTTCCCCTGAAATATGTAACATTGCTATTTACAATCACATAAACTCAATCCTTAAAAACTCTCCAATCTCTGAAAAAAATATTTTTCATAAAAGAATGAGAGATGACGGACTACTGAAGCAAAAGAGTCTGAAATTGATTTTCTGTTTGGAAATGCAAATAAACAACATGACCTGCTAAAATTCACTTATGAATGCAATAATCATTCCATAAAATTTCATGACCTTGAAATCTTCAAGGGCGAACGCTTCAAAAATACTGGTGTTTTAGACCTGAAATGTTTTACAAAGAAAACCGAAAAATTCCAATATCTTCATAAAAACTCAAACCACCCCATTTCAAACTTTAAATCCTTTATTAAAGGCGAAGGCATTCGTATACTTAGAAACACCAAGACTGACAGTGAATTTCAAACCAGAAAAAATCTCTTTATTGAAAAATTATTAATTAGAGGATATCAACTGAAATTGGTAGAACAAATTCTATCAAAAATCAAATTCCAAGACAGACAAGATAAATTAAAGAAAAAGAACAAAGTTGAAAATAAATATAATATATCATTCATTACAAATTATCATCCTCAAGCAGAAAAACTTCAAAAAGTATTCAGGAAACACTGGCATCTTATTAAAACGGATTCTACAATAGGTGCTAAATTTCATAAAAACCTATCAATAGGATTCAAAAGAAACAGAAACATTGGTGAATTAGTTAAACGAACTATAAAATAATTTATCTAAACCTCACAGTTCCTACTAAACATTTAACTGTGCGGAACTAATTAATGACCATCATGTAAACAACACATGTAAACTGATATTCTTATGAGGACAAGTTTGTACTATGAAACGCGTAATTAATTCAATATTGGTTGAAAAAGTTAAGAAAACCAAAATAAAAATAAAACAAATTTAAAAGTGTAATTATTAAAAACACAATTCAAAAACTATTTAAAAAATAAAAAAATTAAAAATTAAAAATTAAAACTTTGATGAATTAAAGAAAAAATAGTAATAATAAAAAAGAAATAAATGAAAAAACAAAACAAAACAAAAACAATAGGGGTGGTCTCTGATGAAGGTTTCCCTGGAATAAAAACATTTCCGAAATAACCCGAAACATTGCGTACATAGCACAGTATCAATGTAAGTCCAGAGATATGATTCGCACCTAAATGGGTGGATATTGGATCAATTTCTATGAAATAACGTCCGTTAGTTCTATCACCCGTCCGTCCGTCAAACCTTTGTATGTAAAACTTGGTACATAAGAGATTATATTTCAATGAAATAAAAAACTGGATATTTAGTATTTTGTGACATCGAGCGGTAACCATTTTATTTTTTTAAACTCTAACGACATTTGTGTTTTCGAATATCAAAACTTGGACTTTGCCCTATTAGATATTCTATATCAGTACGTTCTCCTAAAACAAACAAAAAAAAAACCTTTGCTATACAAATCGGAGATCACAGGTATTTATTTGTTATCAGTGCTCACAGTTTCTATATTTATTACTATTTTGTTTAAATTACATACCTGTAATATTGATCTGTGTAATCATTACTATACCCGTCAATATTCTTCTTTCCACTTTCTAGGTTATCCATGATTCGGTTTGGTGCGTGAGATGGCGGAGCACTCTGATCAAATGGATAGTCACTCTCAGAATCTACAGTTTGTCTTTGTCGGAACTGCTCCCAAACATAGTCTATAAAGCAGTGATGCAGAAAGAATACTGGGTCTGATGGAGCTGTATTTAATCCACGCATTGTACCACCAACCCAAACGTGTACACTGTAAAAGAATGAACATGTTACAACAATTTTTCATGCAGTACGTATACATTGGGGTTTGGATTTGGGGAGGGGGGGAGTGGGGTCATTTCTTTATTCTTTATTTACTTTGTCAATTATTCTCTATTCTGTACTTTTTAGCATCCTCTTTTAGCCCTCTCTATTTTTAATTTGTTTTGTCTATATTTGTCTATTCTTTATTATATTTGCATTTTATTATGCACATTTTGCCCATTATTCTCTGTTCTGTAAACCCCATCCAGGCTCTCGTATTTGTCAATAAACTTTCAGCTTTACCAATCAATTTGAATTGGTTAGTTTTGTCTTATGTCATTTAAGTAGGACTTTTTGATTTATTTTTTAATGCTTTGTTTATTTACTCTATTTCTTTCCCTTGGAAGATGGAAATCGGAAAGATTGTGAATTTTGTAATGTGATTCAAATGTTAAAAACCTTTTACAGCTTTTCAATAAATCAATGAAATTGAAATGGTAAAAATTATGGTCAGAGGTCAAGAGTGTTTAACACCTCGAAAATGACGCTACATATTTCATATAAATTCCAAAAATTTGAAACACTTTGACGTCTTAATTCAGGTCCGATTTTAATGAAATTTTCATTGTTTAACTCATAAATGTTTGCAGTTTGTTTGGTTTTTTTTTTGCTTAAATGAAATATTTTTATAACGCGGCATTACTGAGAAGTCTATAACTTAATAGAAATATTAAAAATTTGTCCTTACTAATTCTATATACATGATTAGTATACTATACATTGCCGTAGAAGAAATTAAAATTTGTCATGACATTGTCAGTTTGTTTTCGACTTATGAGCTTGAATATCCATTTGGTATCTTTCGCCTCTCTTTTGAAGACCTCTTTTACAAATTTTGAAAATGTGTGTGTTGCAAAAACTTATATCGAAAAAAGTACTTACGGAACCAATATAAACCTTGAATTAAGTTTAAAATGAAATACATGGTAAACATCAATGAGACAGAAATTAAACTACACCAAAACTTCTAGAGCTCAAAACACTATCTTTAGCGATATATAAATTAAACAATACAGTGGTTTGAACACTAAATCGCTTGTTGATTAGATGGCAAACACGAATGCATTGGTAGCGTGTATAATAGTTTCCCGATTATAATTGAACTATATTGAAAAGCATATCTGGACCTTCTTTTATGAAAGTACTTTGCTAATTCTAAGTGCGGATCCAGGATTTTGAAAAAAGGGGATTCCCACCAGACCGCCAAGTTTGAAGTGATACTTGTAAAAAGTCTATGCATTTATCATATATAAAGCTCCGTAAGGGGAACCGGTCCCGTGCCCCCCCTAAATCCGCTCCTGAATTTAGTGATCAAGCGGTTGACAGGAATATGTACTAGTGCTCAAAAAGACCATTGTTCATCATGTAGTTCCGATTATATGAAAACTACGATTGCCAGAGGATATCTTTGTGCATAAATAGCCAATTGAAAAAAAAAAACAAAAAAAAAAAACGTTTTCCTACAAGCCGAAATGCCTTCAAACTTAATTTAAGGAATTTGATGACAAGGAAACCATACGAGGCATAATTTCTCATAAGTTATCTGCTCATGAGGGGTGAGTATGTAGCCATCGTAGATTAGCAAAATATAACGACTGAATTATTCGGAGTGTATTGACTCGTTTCTATACTCTTTTGCATATGCTTATTGTCGTAATAAGTATAAAAATGGAACGGGGACACAATAACATTTCCCTCATTAGTTCAATGAGAGTCTCTGGTTTAAATCACATTCTACCACCAAAGAAGGGCAGATTTTTTATTCTCTATATTTGACTGCCAAATTTCATTTGCTTTCAAATTCTTGCAGCCTCATTCCTTAAGACATTTAGGACAGCAATACTGTTGTTACTATCAATAGGGTTATTTCATTCACTTTCTGGTTGAAATCATTTATTCAGACAATGATCAACCATATACATTCAAAAGTTCAACTATGATGTATACCCTTCCATTTGACAACAATTGAAGACACCTTAACATCTTGACTTACATCTAGAAATTTACAATGAGGGTCGGTTGAAAACAAAACTTTATGACAAAAGAGATGATTTCAGCTACCCAATAGTGAACTTTCCATTTCTATGTAGCAACATTCCAACAGCGCCTGCATACGGCGTATATATATCCCAGTTGATATGATATTCCAGGACTTGTATTTCCTATCATGATTTCCTTGATAGAGGGTTGCTGCTCATAAGGAAGCCATTAAACCACGAGTTCCAAGTTTCTGTTGAAATCGTCCCTTCGTAAATTTTACGGACGCCATATCAAGTTGGTTGACCGTTAAGGAATATCCGTTTCACAAATGACAACGGATATGTTCCTATTGACGTAACTACAATCCCGTCCCCATTTCCCCGAATGTGACCTACCGAATAAAACTTATCACCGGGTTTGTACTAACATGGACACCACGACGGGTTCCACATATGGAGCAGGATCTGCTTACCATTCCGGAGCACCTGAGATCACCCCGAGTTTTTGGTGGGGTTTGTGTTTATCAGTCTTTAGTTTTATATGTTGTGTTTTGTATACTGTTGTTTGTTTGTTGATCTTTTTCTTGTTTTAGCCATGACGTTGTCCGTTTATTTTCGACTTATGAGTTTGAATGTCCCTTTGGTATCTTTCGCCTCTTTTACTATTTTAGTTTTTCGACGCTATTAATCAAATTATTTTTTTCAAAATTTAACTATATAAGGTATGGGGAAAATCTGGATTCAGAATATTTTTTTTGTCATCTGCTTGACCACAATATTTTTTTTTCATCAAATTGGGGATCAGAATATATTTTTAGGGCAAAAATGGGCAATAATTTCATCGAAAATAGAAAGTCGAATACACCTTTTTATGTTCAGGCGTGTTTGAGTTGACTATTCTGTCTTGAAAACGTATAAAAGAAAAGTATTTGATATATCATCTCGCTTCAGATTCTATTATTTTTATATATTTTTTAGGCTATAGGTTGATATAATAACATTAAAACTTATAGTACTAAGAAATGAAATATATGGGTCAAGTGAAATATCTTTCTAATGAGTCATAACAACAGAGTCGGTGTGTTTGAACTACAATTTTTACTAAAAGTACTGTTACAAGTGGATCTTAAAAATGCATAACTTCAAAAGAACTTCATTTTTTGTGAGTGTTATCTACGGTAATCATTCCTCAACCTCTGAAAATTTTTAGTCTGCCCTTCCACGAAATATTTAATAAGAATTTGTATGCCCCACCTAGGGGCTTTATATTTTTCGGTCTGTGCGTCCGTTTGTTCGTCCGTCCGTTCGTCCGTCCGTCAGTCCCGCTTCAGGTTAAAGTTTTTGGTCAAGGTAGTTTTTGATGAAGTTGAAGTCTAATCAACTTGAAACTCAGTACACATGTTCCCTATGATATGATTTTTTTAATTTTAATGCCAAATTAGAGTTTTGACCCCAATTTCACGGTCCACTGAACATAGAAAATGATAGAGATTAGTGCGAGTGGGGCATCCGTGTACTATGGACACATTCTTGTTTCAAATATTTTTGAACTTTCGAAATTCCCCCTGACAACCGATTAGGCAATAGTTTTAAGTTGACCAAATGCATAAAAGTACATTAAATGATGCTCAATAGAAAGAAGATACATTTGTCTTTTAAGATACAACTGCAGGTTTATAAGGATCGTAATGATGCTATGTGGATAAACTGATCAAGAGCTAAATTGACAGCCCGTCATCACTACAATGGGTTCTATTTTTACGATTATAAAAATTGGATGGCGTAATGAGGAGATACTATTGACGAAGTAGAATCCTGACTGTAAAAGGAAAGAAGATCGAATATGAACGACAAAAAAATGAAAACAAATACGTATCATAACGTTCTGAGGTAATAATAGACTAGCAAAAATGAGTCATTGACACACGAACTTAAAAATACATAATGCAGTTTACTCACTACTTTCATTGGCGAATTCAGAAACTTTACAGGGATGTCACCAATACGAACTGTCAAAACGTTTCAATATTTTTCTTGGTATTAAGGTCATTAAGGAATTTGCAAAGCAAGTGTTTTACACATGATTTACAAAATTCATTCCAATTTCATTTTTTCTTGGATGTTTGTCTGCGAAAGTGTCAACGATTTTATTATATTACACGTACATTCACAATCAAGCGAGTTTTCTGACCCATTTTTGCTCGTAAAATATTTTCAATAAGCCCAGCTTCTTTTCTGAACGCTCCTTTTGCAACTGGTTACTTTCATTGTGTAGACATTTTTAAGAATGACAATGCTGTTTGGATGGTCAGGCTTGGCGTTGTTCTGATGCCTTCATCTACAGGCTTTGGCCACGTTTTTTGAATGTATTTTACCAGAATTCATATATATATTCAATTTATAAATACACAGAAACATTATTAGCTGCATGTTTATGATCAAAAGAGACATGGCATTGCCAAGTTCATCTAAGGTCAATTTTGCCTGAGGGGGTTAAGAATATAGTTTCCTAGTAATTTCTTAATTTATCGACAGAAAATTTTCGAAAAAAGCTAAAATTTGATGGAAATTTAAAAAGGCTGGATGTTGGATTTAGGATGTTGATAGCAATGAGAACGAATGAATATTGTTCATAAAGTTAAAGGTCGGGGAAAGATGGCAATAACGTTAAACACTTAAAATATGGAAAACTACATTATAAAACAGAAATATTAATCATATACTGAAAACGTCAAAAAATGGAGAGCTTCTCCTTATAAACACACCTTTAATAAAAGAGATTAAATAAGAAATCAACGATAAAAATTACACAGACATTCCATTATAGCATTCTGGGTTAAAAAAAAAAAAGATCGACACATTGACTCACAGGCTTATATTTAGTATATGTTTTCTTCTCTGCGAATCAAAATAATGTGCGACTCTTGACAGAATGGAAATTTCTTCATGAGATGGATTCTGCTGCTGATCATTTATACTTCTAGTGTTTAAATCCCCGTTACTCAAAATACACTAACGTTTTGATTGGTGTTGTTCTGGAAACAAAATGCATTTATTTATTATTTTGAAATTGACATTTGATTTGATTGAAATGCCTTCTTTTAGGGTTAAAGCTGTTTTCTAATACGTACGCATCGTGGTAGTTTTCAAGATCAAATCTGTCATTTGCCCAAGGTTTCAATATATCGATATTTCTTCTTCTGGATAGCACATTTCTTATCCCCATTGGTGAAATCATTGAACCAGATGCTCCACCATTTCTTTCTAAGAATGCACCATTACGCTGACGCCAAAGTCTAAATGGTCCATTTGTTACCACACCACTGTGATCGCCCATGAAATTATCGCCCCAAAAAATTGATTCCTTTGGGTCATCCAAGTTATAATCTAATCTACTATCAAAGAATGGCAAAGTAACTCGGTTATCGATTTCCTGTAGAGCAGCTTCAAATCTGAAACATTAAGTACGAATGTAGTGATCAATTGTCAGACACCTTTAACCTCTATCAAAAAGTGTTACAAAAACTGCGTGCCCACCTTAGAATAAATTGGTCGTCCACTAAAGTAATTTACTTTTTATGATACAGATCACCTTAAGATTAAGTCTAGAATTTCGATTCTATTGAATATGAAAATTAATAGCATAAAAATTAAGGGTTCATTCTGGTTTCTAGGAAAGAGGAGCACCATTGTCCAAAATGTTATAATTTATGCTGAACCTACAAAGGCAATTTCATTCAAAAGGTGGGAGGAGCGTATGCTCTCCTGAATCAGCCACAAAGTAAAAATGACACTTAAAAATGTTATGCGTCTGAATTATTTTCTGGATTATCTATAACTATTGTATACCTTTGTAAATCTAGCTTTTGTATAAATTAAAAAACAAGGGAAGGGGTCAATCACTAATGAATATTAATTCTAATGAAATGCTGCTTCAATAAACGTCAATCATAATGGATTGTTGGTTGAAAGCTTCTTCCAACTACTAGTATATTTTCTTCTTTTCCATATTTTGACCTTTGAATTAACATATTTTGTGAATCGGAGCGATTTGACTCGGGACGTTTATAGAACTATCTTCTCATAACCACATTTTTCCTTTTAAAAAATATGCCCATGTCTTTTTTTCTGTACGTCAAATACAGAAATGTTAGTGGAAAGAAGATTTGAGAATCCATAGGAAAAGCTAACTAAAATGGAGAAAGATGTTATTTTACAACAGTAGCTTTCTTCCCATGCATATCAAATTTTAAGTTTTGAACATGTGTGTATTTATTTCGTTGTTAGTTATTGTTTGTTTTTTGTATGTCTGTTATCTTTCGGAAGAGTCGGTGTTTGGGGTTGATGTGATCTCAGTGGTGTAGCTTGACCCTTATTTATAACATTTATGATTTGGATCACCTTAAAATTAGGTCTAGAATTTCGATTTATTGAATGTTAAAAGGAGCCTAAGGAGTAGAAGGTCTAAGACAACCGCCGTCGCAAAATGCTTTTCAAATTTTTAAAGCCGGATATGCTTACCCTTACGGAGCACCTGAGATCACCCCTAGTTTTAGGTGGGGTTCGTGTTGTTCAGGCTTTAGTTTTCTATGTTGTGTTTTGTGTATTGTTGTTTATCTGTTGGTCTTTTTGTTTGCCATGGCGTTGTCAGTTTATTTTCGACCTATGAGTTTGAATGTCCCTTTGGTATCGTTTGCTTCTCTTTTATATGAGACAAGCGAACTCAAAGACAGCGCTGCGAATAGGGAGCGGAAGGTCAAAGACAACCGGCGTCGCAAAATACTTTTCAGTTTTTACAAATGTCAAAACATGTTTGATTGATTGATTGTTGTTTGTCTAACGGCAAAGGACAAATATCTTATGCATTTTCAGGACAAGAACAAATTAACAATAATACAATAGATATGTTCTGCGGTGTGGGTCGACCAAGATATGAGAGTACAAGTTTTGACCATAGCTGGAAAAAGGAGAGCATGTTAGGGGCACAAAAAATATCTTGCAACAGACCCCATATGGACCATTGACGGTTTGTTACAAGGGTTCTGTAACATGTAGAGAGCATTGCATATCTACATCAGATTCAACATCCTTATTCCGACAAAACATACGTATTCATACATCATCCAGTGCAGCCAATCTGACACAATGTATCATAGTATCTTTTTAAATATCTATGATATAGGCTCAAGATTAAATGTTAGAAAGCTGAATACATATATATGAAACGTTCAGCGGAGCAACAAAACCACATAAAACATAACAGTTCATATTCAATAAGTTGTAACCAAGAGTTGAATGAATATGCAATTTTATTATCAAACATTCAATCAAAGAGACATGTACAAAAGTACACATGACCATAACTTGCCGAGCAATTGTCAGAAAACTTGAACTTCGGCGTTTGTTGTTGTAAACTGGAAGATAACATGGATAAAAGTAATGTCTAAATATAAATTTATCTTCTACAAGAGAGGCCGACTTAAGCTTTTAAAATGTCGTGGCTATAGTGACGTTTTAGATTTTAATTAACATATTAATCTATGTATCACTTGTAAATTATGAAGTCAGGGATTTCGTTACCACCAATTAAAAACCTTGACTAAACTTTTTCACAGATATAAGGATTTAGTTTTGAAGTTTGCCTGTACCTGTCATTTATAACAAACGGGATATCATATCCTAATTTTTACAGTGATGTTATTTCTTGAGCCTGTGAATTTAGATACGACCCTTGTATACTTATCAATCCTTTGAATAAAACTTTATACAAAAAGATGCCAACTTATTAACACTGTAATGAGATCTTTAAATAATTTTTTTATCAGTACACACATTGATTTTAATAGTATTGCTATACAGCTATGAACATTCATGGTCCTATTTTCTGTCGATACCTATATTTTGGCATTGCACAAAATCATGTTCTTCTCTGACTGTTTATGACGTCTTTAAACTAGACCCATTGGATGTGTACAGATTGATATTTTATTCCTAGATATATGATTTTTATTAGTTAACTTGTTATTGACTTTAAATTAGCTTTCAGTAACTGCGAGTGCAGTCGGATCTGTACTTTGTGTCTTTAACATTTTGTTAGTTGTTTTTGGGCTTTGTATCGATCTGAAGAGTCAAACCTTTTTCAACTTATTTTATAGTTTGTTCTTGTGTTGTGCTGTTACATCGAAGTCCAAGGTAGGGGCACAAACATATTTGACCCCGCCACAACCTGTATGTGCCTGTCCCAAATCATGAGCCTGTAATTCAGTGGTTTTCTTTTTCTGTTGTATATCATATCTATTTTTCGTTTATTGTTTTGTATATAAATCAGACCGCAAGTTTTCTCGTTTGTTTTGTTTTACATTTGTCATGTAGGTGCCTCTTATAACTTGCTATGTGGTAAGGGTTTTGCTTGTTGATGAAGGCCGTACGATGACCTACGTCGTTTACGCGAGCAATATATGCATATGAGTAATACAAAGGTAGGTATTTCATATATTCATTTACTTACAGTTTGAGGTATTCCCGATGCCATGAGGGAAAGTTTGGTCCCATATGTGCCGATCCAAGGGCTAACCCGTCATGTGCACTAGCTATAGCATCATATCTGTTGGTTGTTCCGATCTATCCAATGAATAATATAGCTTTAATAAAAGAACGATCCACATATTGTATAATAAGGTTTTTGGAATGAAATAACCCCTTGAATTGAAAAAAAAATATTCAAAATTAAATGCATGGGGCCGTTGTTTAATTGAGTATTCAAATCCAGCCAAAATCACAACCAAGAGTGAAAATATAAATGAATACCTACCATTTGCTGAAGGTGGTCAACATTACTTTCAAGATAGATTTAAAAATATATAGATTGTGATTTACTTTACAAGTTTATCAATTTGCAAAATATTTTCATATTGCCTTGAGTGTCACTAATAATTGAAAGCGTAATTCCCCTTTTCCTTACGTCAATTTTCCAATTGGAATTTTAGCGAATATGACTCTCATGGTCTTTGACCACTCGACCATCGATATCGCTGTCGCATGTAATGCAGTATGTCGATACCCTTCAAACCCATGTGATATTACCCCCTGGCTTGGATAGAGTTCGTAGCGACCATACATTAAGTTTTAGTGTGGTCTGTCCGTACAGTTCTATCAAATGATGGGCAGGATTCCTGATATGAAGAAAATTTTGTTATGTCAATGTCAATAATTTGCAGCTCAATGAGGTAAATGTACAACTGTGTTGAATTTTAACGCTTGTCGATGTGATTTTACTATCGAAAACTGAGTTAACCGGCGACATGTAAAATTAGTTACTGAAAGTATAAAGATGGCTTCATTAACAAAAACTCTACAAAATGTTTAAATGTTCACAATAGCGTTTATTGATATGACAAATATTCAATAAGACGAAACTTAAAAGTCATGTGATACTCTAAATTAAAAAAAAAAGTTTGAATATATGTGTTACATACTTGAATGGCTAAGATTTACTTTAAAACACGTGTACATTGACTTTCTTTAATAAAAAATAATAATGTATCTTATCAAAATCATGTACTGTCATTTGCTTCGCATCACGGTGCGAACCTATTAGTTTCATACGATATTCACGCCATCTTTAAATTATTACGTAACGAATATCGGTTCGCATCGGTTCCCTGATGATGTGGGAAAGATTCTATTGCCTAGAAAGAGATATAGGATTGGGAACATGTCTAGGACAGGAGAACATATCAAATACGCTCAAAATATGGGTATTCAAGATCCAATCCAATACCCAATCAATGATTTGTTTTGCCTTTACTGGTCTAGCTTGCTTATGCAAAGCCGAGTCAAATTCATATTGATAAATAAGAGGATGGACAAAGATGAAAAGTGTCTGAGTGATCATCTGACTATATATGCATATACAACAACATTCAAAAATAATCATTACTGCCACTGATCCTCCAGAATTTTGTTAGAATGCATGTATTCCATGTTATAAAACCAAATGATATATATAAAAAACCAGCTGCGCAAATAGCATATGATAACCCGAATTGTACATTAGGATTGTCGTGAGAATGATCTGGAATATTTAGGAAGCATCTAATAACAAGTAAGTAAAATGGCTGTGTAGGAAAACATGCTTGAAATATATCCATATGAAAATGAATATTGCATAAAAAGTTAATGTTAACAATCCCATACCTCTGGAAGGATTAACCATAAAGTTTACATTTCCTTAGCGTATCTAGATTCACCAAAACCAAAAAAAAGTGTAAAATATGTTGAATTGATCCTAGCATACTATATCTAGTGCATGACATGTAGAATATTACCATTCATTAATCTGACCGTCAAATTTCACATAACTGCGGAATGACAAATCATAGATTTTCAAAATCAAACAGTATCTCTAGAATGTCATCACCAAATAATTTTACAATCAAGTGGAAGTTTTCTTCTATCAATCCTGATGTTCCGTTTAAATTTTGTGGGAATTGGTTAAAGCAAAATTGAGTTATTGTGTAAAGTGTTCATGGACAAATTAAAGTTCCCATCAAATGCTGACTTATAACACTTATGAGTATTTACACAAAGGAAAAAGTTAACACCTTTCGTATACTTAAACAATCATATAAACCACATATTACTTTAAAGTATGACACAGCGAAGCACTCCAAAGCTTTCAAGAAAGCTAAAACTTGTGAAGTATTGTTTTCCAGTACTCTAATTTGCCATCACTCAGTGACCGTAGCCAGGAGACCTTTTCAACCGTAACAAATTCAATAAGACGGCATCACAGCTAAAAAATGAATGTCAATTAGACACGATCAAAGTCAAACAAAGCCAATAAGACAGCATCACAGCTAAAATAAGTCAATGAGACAGCATCATAGCACAAGAAAGCCAATTAAACAGCATAATAGCCAAACAAATTCAATAAGACAGAATCACAACCCAACAAAGTCAGTAAGACATCATTACAGTCAAACAAAGTCAAACAAAGTAAATAAGACAGAAAAATAGTCAATAAGAAATCATTACAGTCAAACAAATTCAATTAGACAGTATCACTAGTAAACAAAGTCAATACGACAGCATCATAGCCAAACAAAGTAAGTTAAACAGCATCACAGACAAACAAAGTAAATAAGACAGCATCATAACAGAACAAAGTCAATGAGACAGCATCAGAGCCAAACTAAGCCAATGAAACATCATCACAGTCAAACAAAGTCATTGAGACAGATCAAAGCCAATCAAAGTCAATAAGACAAAATCACAAGCAAACGAAGTCAATAAGACAGCATCACAGCCAAACTAAGTCAAAAAGAGAGCATCGCAATAAAAAAAAGCCAATAAGACAGCATCATAGCCAAACAAAGATAAGAAGACAGCTTCACTGGTAAACAAAGTCAATAAGACAGAATAACAGCCAAACAAAGTCAATAAGACAACATCATGTCAAACAAAGTCAATAAGACAGAACCATAGCTAACCTAAGTCATCATCATAGACAAAAAAAGTCAGTAGACGGTATCACAGACGAAGTCAATAAGACACCATCACAGTCAAACAAAGTTAATTAGACATTATCACAGTCAAACTAAGTCACTGAGAAAGCATCACAACCAAACAAAGTCAATTAGACAGAATCATACCCAAACAAAGTCAATAAGACATTATAACAGCCACAAAACAAAGCCAACAATGCGGCATTAGAGACAAACAATATCAACAAGGCAGCATCACAGACAAACAAAGTCAACAAGACAGCATCACATACAAACACAGCCAATAAGACAGCATCACAGCAAAACAAATTCCACAAGGCAGCATCACAGACAAACAAAGTCAATAAGACAGGATCACAGCCAAACAACACCAATAAGACAGAATCAAAGACAAACAAAGTCAACAAGGCAGCATTACAGACAAACAAAGTCAACAAGGCAGCATCACAGACAAACAAAGTCAACAAGGCGGCATCACAGACAAACAAAGTCAATAAGACAGGAACACAGCCAAACAACGCCAATAAGACAGCTTCACAGACAAACAAAGCCAATAAGACAGCACCATAGACAAACAAAGTCAATAAGACAGCATCACAGCCAAACAAATTCAATGAGACAGCATCACAGCTTTTGTCAATAAGATGGTATCACAGACAAACAAAGTCAACAAGACGGCATCAATTAACAGTAAAACAAAAAACATAACAACACGGTAAAAAAATGATTAAAAACATACCTTAAGCATGGAAAAACAATCGACACACTAGGGATATACCTTTTAAGTAATTTATAATGTCAAAAAACAACTAGGCAATAAAAGCTTAAAAAGAAATTTCTGCAAAAAAAGGAAGAAAGACTGCATAATAAAACAACAAATGCTTGCTATCCAGTTCTGTGATACATTTGTAAATACTCTTACGCTTCTAGCTTTTAATTGTTGAACAGCTTGAATAAATCTGTTCCTTTGTGCATCTGTAAGTGTTCTGATTTCGCGTCTTATTCTTCTGACAGCTTGTCTTTTAGTTCGAATGTTGTATTCTTGTCCTCTGACCTTTCGACCAAGTGATTGTAACCAGTTGATTGTGTCAGGGTCAGTCAGTCTTGGTGGATGATATCTTTCCAACCAGGTTTCTGCAAGATACTTATTAACACAGGTGTATAAAATGAGTTCGCCTGGAATTGTGGTTATGGAACCCGCCTTTTCATTAAAACATTTACACAGTATTGCTGGCATATCATTTTCTGTCATCATGCTGAACACGGAACTTACGAAAGGGATTAAGTACAAAAAGGCTTCCATACCGAACCTATAAATTATAAAACAACACACTGATATTATAATTGCAAAGATCAATTCCTCTAATATCTTTTCTGTTGATAACATTTATGACAATTGTTAGCAGTTATGACGAAAGAATAAATGATACTAAATGTTTTGAACATTCCCTGAAGACTACCTCTCATTGCAGACATGCCAGAGTCGATTCCTTTCACTGCAGACATTTCATTCGCTTAGAAGTCCATGTTTCCACCTGTATTTTGATGAATTTATAGGTAATTTATTTTGCATTTTTTTTGGTCTAAAACCAAACTATAGGCCTGGGGTAAATTCAGTAAATAAATATACGTCATCAGGGACCGCCCATTTGGGGGAGAGCTTTCTGTACAAAACTGAAGTCCTGTGCTCTTCTGATTGGTAGATAATGTTTGTGATAATATTTTTTGATAGATGGATCAAAACTAGAGTTAAACAAAAAGAAAAAATAAATGCTGAATGTACTTATTTTTTTTACTACAGGGTTGAAAAGTAATGGGGGCCAGTAAAGGAATTAAGTGCGAATCTACAGTGTTTGTAAACAAGGCCATGTGAATGCCCAACAATGCTGCATGACCCTATGTTTTTATTGTTGCAAAAGATAGGGCTACATTTGTACTTTCATGAATGATATATGAAAGCTTCCAATTTCTAAAGGTAAATCAGGTATAAATTTAATTCAAGACATAGATTAGCATTAAAGTCAATGGGAGATGTTTTGCTGAATTTACCCCTATAGGAAAATATTCACTCTGTCACTGTACTTGTTCAAGGCCACACAATAATCACAAAACTCATTTCCTGTAAATATTAATGCAATGGAAGCCTTTTGGAACCAGTTAAAGTTGTTTTTATACAAATTTCTATGTTTAACTGCGGCTATCCAGGATGCACTGAGTGTACTGTGGGAGGAAGCATGGGATATATGGTAAAAAATCAGTTTTGTGTCCAGATTGAAAGAAACAATAGAAATTACGCTTGAGAGCCATGATATTAATGAAAGGCATAAATATTCTCCCCATTTTACATCTCATTTTGCACATATTTCTCCTAATAATGTGTAAAATCGTATGGAAAATCAGAATTACCTCCCTTTGACATAGTGTATTTTTTTTAGCTGTGTTCCCCATGCTAAGTTGTAGATCAAGTTGTAAATAAGCACTTTTCAAGTATTTTAACACTCGAATAATCTGACCGTATGAAGATATTCATTTATTTTTACATAATTCATTGGGTTTCTTTAAGTAAAAAAAATACTAGACAACTTTTCATGATTACATACCCTTCATCTATAAAACTAGTGTTGAAATGTTTGTAATTGGATTGCTATGTTAAATAATTGCTTTTAAATATTCTAGATTGTTACTTTTATGTTCCAAATGCAAAGTTTGGTCATACCCAGTCTTATTTTTTTCATATTTGGCACTTTTTTCTACTTCAGTTTTGGCCGTCTAGTTTTGGCGAAGAAACCATCCTGATGTTAGGGTAACAGGAATTTCTGCAGAGTGGTTGTCAATGACATTTTGTGAACCTTACAAGTAATTAAAACACAGATTTAGTAAAATGAAACATAATTGTTGTTTTTTATGGTATGAAACTACTTAAAAAGCCTTTGAAAAGTCTTTTTGTGTTTTTTTTCAGGGTATTTAATTAAAAACTTCCATATAAGGCAAAATTTAACTAAGAGTACATCAAGACTTTAGTTCCTAGATGTACTTGCAATACTGATCAAAGCAAACACAGAAAACAATTCATATTTATTAAGCATAGTATTTTACACCATTCTTTTAAAAACAGTCAATGTGCAACTTTATATACCAAATATACATTGGCCGCAGTATGGGCGGTAGTATAAATTTTCCTCAATCTTTACAAGTTCAGCCTTTATGAATGTTGTATTAAAACTGGAACTTGAAAATTGGATACATTACATGATTAATACAAAAAAAGTAGGAAAAGAAGTTATAAAGTCCCTTATAGGGGTAAATTCAGTAAATAAATATACGTCATCAGGGACCGCCCATTTGGGGGAGAGCTTTCTGTACAAAACTGAAGTCCTGTGCTCTTCTGATTGGTAGATAATGTTTGTAATAAATATTTTTTGATAGATGGATCAAAACTAGAGTTAAACAAAAATAAAAAATAAATGCTGAATGTACTTATTTTTTTTACTACAGGGTTGAAAAGTAATGGGGGCCAGTAAAGGTAAATTAAGTGCGAATCTACAGTGTTTGTAAACAAGGCCATGTGAATGCCCAAAAATGCCGCATGACCCTATGTTTTTATTGTTGCAAAAGATAGGGCTACATTTGTACTTTCATGAATGATATATGAAAGCTTCCAATTTCTAAAGGTAAATCAGGTATAAATTTAATTCAAGACATAGATTAGCATTAAAGTCAATGGGAGATTTTTTACTGAATTTACCCCTTTAAGAGTGTTAAATAAGGGGAAATTTAGTTTTCGGAATTGCTTTATTGTGCATAATCTTATACTTTAATCATCAGCAATGGCTTTCTGTTTATATCTATTTGCATAATTGTTTCCTTTCTTGGTGGCATTTTATTTGATATGTGACCTTCTATTAACTACAGTCTACTTACTAGATGTTAGGTTGAAATAACGGTTACGAGTTATTCGTCGTTGTAAACCTTTTAGAATATTCAGCAGTTATAATAAATCTACGCTTATTCTAAATAATTTCGGTTATAAAAACTAAAACTTCTAAGTTGTATTTTCTTATCAACTGTACAGGTATGGTATTTGGCAATAAGAAACACGTATGATATGTATTTGTATTCTTGTAATAAACTTAAGCGGGGCCACAAACTAATGTTGGACCGCAAATCCGCGATCAGTGATAAAATCGATGACGCGAGAACAATAGAAAAGTCCCTCTTCTTATGAAAAAGGTCGAGAAAATCAATACTAAAACAATGTCGGTACGATACTTAGTTATTTCAAAACAACAATCGTACATTTTAAAGAAATTATTTGTTAAACGGCGTTATTAGAAATATACATGAAAATACATAATGTTTTATGTTCATTATTGATCGAGATGATTGCATCAGAAGCTAGTGAAACTGAAATTTAAAAAAGATATTAATCTTTGCTGCATATTGAAAAAAAGATTGGAAAAATCAAGTACAAACAAAATCTAAAGATCGTTCAGGTCACCAATTTTCGGATTGTTTCACATAGTCCTTATCATGTTACAATTTCCCAAAATATACCTTTTTTCACTTCTAAGTTTTCGAGTACACCAGTCTGCTCTTGTCACGTGAAATTTCAATAAAGAAATATTGTCTTTTCGTGAATATAACAACTCAAAAGTTGTGTATGTGCAGGTTAAAAAATTAAAGATAAATATTCTTACAAAGTAGGTTATGCGTGATTTTTTTTTTTACTATTTTCAGGTACAATTTAAAGAAAAGGTCGTCTCGATTTCTGTACATGTACTTGTTCTTCTCGATCTATTCACATTCAATGTTGAAATCTGGATGATGGCCGTTTGAATTAGCTTAGTATTTAATTTCAAAAGTATTAATCTTTGCTGCATATGAATCGATTCCTTTGTAATTTTTTTCCTGAATTTCGCCGATCTAGCAGCATACATATACGGATAATTAGCGTGTTCCAGAGATTTATACAGCCAGTAGAAAAAAAATTGAAAATGGTACTGCAGGAATTTATTCGCATAACAACATTTTAAACCACTTTAACACAAAGCTCCTTAAGCCTGCTGTAATCGTAGTTTGCTATTTTAGAAGGGACATGATAACATTAATGTTTTAATTTTATTTCAATTCATTCTTATTGCTACTATTTACCAGAACGCTTTCTTGTGAATTTATAATAATACCGCCATTGCTAAAACAGATTAACATTGAAAGGATCAAGTTTTCAGTGTGTATATTATAGAGGAGGTTATATTTTGACACTAGGATTTCCCACTGAGATGGTCTCAACAGCCTTTGCTGTCTCATGATATTTTTAACATACATTTTTATAAATTACAAGTTAATGAAATTGTGTGACTAAGGTCCAAACTGTTTTTATACGCCCGTATTATGGTATACCGTTGTTCTTCCGTCTGTTCGTCCGTCCGTCCGTCCGTCTGTTCTGTCCGTCCGTCGTCAACATGTCGAACAATAACTCATAAATTCTTTACCTAATTTCCATGATACTTTGGTGAATTGTTTATATCTAAATATATCTAAAATAGGTAAGCTCCCTTTCGATTTTTTTTAAATATTTAGGTTTTACGTTTCCGAGTTATGGGATTTTATTTATAAAAAAGGGTTGATTTTCCAGTTTTCGGGCAATAACTCAAAAATGCTTTGAGCAATTTTAATGAAACTGTGGTGACTGGTTTATATTTATCAAAATAAGATCCTTTTATTTTTTTTTTTTTAAATTTCTGATATGACATTGAGAAGTTTTGGAAATTTATTTGTTGAAAAAGCGACGGGCGTATCATGTGCTCTTGGTGCAGCTCTTCGTTGTAGTTCCTCGCATCTATAAATATTTGGCTTTTTATCACAGATATTTCATATTTTCAAAAAACAACAGTAAATTAATTTAATTTCATACGAAATTTGTTTTGCACAGTAACGAACATATGTATCTTAGTTTGACTAGTTGTTGTTTGCTTAACGCCCAGTACAATTTTTTTATGTATTGTAAAAAAAAATGCACAAAAGTTAAAGAGGAAGGGGTCAAATAGAATAATACTATAAATAATAAAGACATTTTTTGGTAAAATACTAGTATTAAAATACAGTAATATAATAACTGTAAGCTTTTTAGATACAACTAAAAAAAGACGAAATTGTGATTAAAATCTACGACTGGTAGCAGCACCGCATCAAACAAGATGCAATACGCTCGAAAAACATTTTAAAAATCCCAAATAAACAAGTTTAACCTTTCTAAAAGATATGGCCAGAGTGCTTAAAAGGTAAGATTCATTTAGGAATCGGTATCAAC